GGTTTTCATTCAGAACAAGGTTAAATTTTTTTTTCATTCAAAGAAATTTTTTATTTTATTTTATTCAAAAATTAACATTCGTTATACAAGAAATTATTCAAATGGGAAAATAACCTTACAAATGTAGTATTAAAATATGTTTTTCTTTCATCTAATTGTCAAATCTAATAATTCAGTGTTCTTGTTTAGAAGAAAATGCAGTTAAGGAAATTGAAGTTGAGAAGAAAAAATAGTATTAAAAACCAAACAAAAAAAATACTGCAAGCCAAATAGAATTTTTAAAAAATATTTCAATTTAGAAAGAGGGGGGAAAGGTGTTAAATTAAGATATAGTTAAATTTTTAAAAAGCTGTTGTAAGAACTTGTATTTTAATACAATTTAGAAATTTTGTGGACTCGAAAGTATTTGCAATGTAATAATGTTAGGAAATGACCATATGATCACTTTTAGATCATTTATAATACATTCTATATTTGCAGGTACACTATGTTTTATAAAGATAGGTAGTAAATCATAAATGGATCAGAGCTATATAACCTTAATAGGACGAGATAAAACCTTACAACGACAAGAAAATTTCACATAATTATATTGAATACTTTCAATAATTTTAAAATTTTGAATATTACAGAAATGTTTTAATACCTTGAAGAGTATGACTTTTTATTGGATTAATAAAGCATTGCTGTAGTTAACTGTTTACTGAAGGAACTCTCTCAAATAGGAGTGTTGTGACATTAAACTTCTCATTTAAGAAGTATTGTAATGTTATGCGACATCCATTCACATCTTCAGTGACATTACATTCATGCCACTTTATTATGCTACTTTCATGTCACTGAATGATGTTATATCAAGGTCGCAATGTGATGTTACATCAGTCTCTCAGTATGACTTCATAACACCATCACAGTGTAACTTTAGAAGAATGTCACAACCTGACTACACATCAATACTATGTGACTTCTCCTTAATGTCACAACATTACTGTAATGATGAGATCATTACAGTGTGATATGTTTGCATTATCACAGTGATGTCAGGTTAGATATGTCAAAAAATGCTTATCAAGAATAAAAGTGATGCTAAATTGGCCATTAATTGTAACTATGTCCTTATGAATAGGAATGGGTTTTCATTTTTAAGATCTGCATCATCATCATCATCATCATCAAACAGGATTTCATTACCTGAGTGTGTATGGTGTGCTATGTAAAATATTGCAAGCATATATATTTACAGAACAATGTCCAAAATCCAACATCTGTTATGCAGTATGATTTAATACTCACGCCTCCCGGCCACCAGTAAATAATAACTTTTCCCCCCCTTTTTGAGATTTTCTTCTTACAAAGTCTAGGAGTGGAGTATTAAATACTGAACAGAAAGATGTGTCATAAAGTGATTTCTGTCCCAACACAGGAATTACACAGGGGCCAATGACAATGTATTGATTGATGCCCACAACCACACTCTTCAGCTTTTGAGTGGTTGTGGAGAGTTAGCATTTTTCTATCTGACCTAAACAATAAGTGAAACTCTAAGACATATTTATTTGGAGTGGGAATATTGTTGATACTGGCATCTTTTTTTAGCACAGCAGCAGGGAAGAGAGAAAGAACTAGATTCAGAACTGAAGTTCTGATTTAACACAATAAATTGTGCTCTTCGTTATCTTTCTAATTTGATCTAGCTTATTATTTTTGTGGGTATTATTATTACTATAGCTACTTTATCAAAATTAAAATATGAATTTTCTGATATGTCAAAAAAGAGCTTTTAATTGTATGACTGCAGCAAGATCTGGAAACTGAAAGTTTCAATGTTTGTCAGGCAAAAAGTGGAGCTGCAAAAAATGAAGAAAGACATAATATTTGCGTCAAATCACTTTTATGTCAGGATTATGGTACTGGGAAGTGAACAGTATATGCTATAAAAAGCAGAAAAAGGAACTTCCTGGGTTTTTTTGTGGATTCTAACATCCCACTCTCAATGGATGACCAAATCATTAGTCAAAGTGTTAATTGAATGGGTGAGACAGCATCATAGCAAGGGTTGTGCCATCCAATGCTAATGGCTCGAGCCAAAGTATTTTATGACTTTAAAAACTGAGTAAACATATTTGACAGGTTAGTTAACCAAATGTAAAAATTGCAGTAATGTAAGTCAGTTACAAATATCAGATAAAAAATGTCTGAAACTCATATTGATTCATACTGTTTCTCGTACTGAAGTAACTGAACAGATTGCACCAGAATTCTCATTGAACTTATTTACTCATGTGCCATGAAATACCTTGGCAACCTCTGCAGGAAAAGCCCCAACTGTTATCAAAGGTTCCAAAGATAAGCTAACAATTTTCACATGTGCAAATGTTGCAGAAATATACAAATGTAAGCTTTCTGCAGTTGGAAAAATACATGACCTCAGGAATTTAGAAGAGTAAGATTTTTGTTTGCTGTTCAAATAAAGAGCACTCACGGCGTAAAAATTAATGAATGATTGGTTTGAAAATCATTTTATACTGAAGGCTTGGTAAGATTTAAATTGTTTGATTTATTGAATGAGGCAAAAATTGTTATAGACAAATATTCAGCTCATACATCACTTAAAGTTTTTAGTAGAAGATAACATTTATGTCTTATTCTTTTTTCCAAATTGTACATCCATTGTTTGGCCAAGGGTTATGAGTGCCACATGTACAGAAATGCAGATATAAAATATATATCCATATATTGAAGCCAGTGGTTTCTAGAGCATGAATTCTGTAAGATCAATGAATAAGATCTTTTTGAAAATATTTATATTGATCAGTACTTTTCACAATAATCTGCATAGAAATGCTTGCTACTCAATCTTTTAACCTCAAAAAACCTTTTCTAAACTGAAATTTTATTTTTAATTGCATATAAATACAAACATTTTGCTTTTAAATTTGTGTAAAACCCCTTAATATGACCTCTACAACTTTAAAATGAAATATCTCAGTCAGTTTTGTCATGTGGGTGGTAAGCATTTTGTATTTTTAGCCCAAAGGGTGTTAGCCCAGAAAAGCTATTAATTTTGTTTTTGCATTTTGCGTTGAAAACTTTAAAAGTCTGAATCACTTTTCAAATTGTTGCCACCAAATATTATCGCCCTGCATTAAAGAAATTAAATAATGAAGAATCTGATTAAATGTATGTATGTTTCTCGCATTGTGATAAAACAACAGTACATAGAGCCATCAAATTTTGAACAACATACATCTCCTCCCGAATATGGGCATCTGGAAGCCCAGATTTGGAATTTGTTTCATTTTCTATTCCATATTTTGTAAAGCATTTATGAGTTCTTGATTAAGAAACACAATGATTTAAAAGTGAGCAATGGCAACACTGTATGGTTGGGGAACATTTTTATCTCCAGCGCACAAGACTGCGTATCAGAAATTCTAAATATATGCCATTTTAATGTTATTTTGCCATACTGCTGTTTAATTGAATTTTATGGTTTAAATGAGAAGAACATGATATTTAATAAATAAATGTAACACACAAAATGTTAAATAAAATCCCTTTGGACATAATATAAAATCTGAAAGAAAATAATAAATATATGAATTTTTTTTAATAATGAGAATACAATTTTCTTAATGTAATTGTAAGAATCAGAAGAATGCATAAAAGATTAAATTTTGTAATTTTTACATTATAATTGTTTTAAATATAACTATGCCAGAATATTTTGCATCATTTTAAGTATTTTTGTAACTGGAAGTCTGTGTCAATGACCAATGGTTGAAAAAAAAAAAAAAAAGGATATAAGAAAGAAAAGAAAAAATTGTGGCATTATAAGGACTTTTGCAAGCATGGTGAATATATGTAGACTGAGCCCAGCTGAAAACATCCATATTAGTCAGGAGTTGGGCCTCCAATCAAAGTCTCCATAAATAGAGTATATGCCAATATGCTACCATCTGAGGGATCCCAAGATATCAGAGTTTAAAGAGTAATTCTCTAAACCACTGCTACATTGGGCAACCAGGATCACCACTTCTGGTGCTCAGGGACCATACTAGTGGGAACGATGGAAACCTGGACATCTGACTGTTCATCAAGTAGCTTCCACCAGCAATGCGGTCCCATCAATATGCAGGCTAGAACCCATTTCCTGTGGTCCAATCACATCAGGTGGAGTACAGTTATTACCTTTCTCCTCACCAGAGATTCCACAATGGCCCTGGTGGGCCAACTGCCTGGTGAAATATATAGCTATGACCTCTCTCCTAACATGATCGAGTCTTCCCCAATCCGACCTTGGTCCAACCATAAGGAACGATCTTTCATCAGGGTTCGGGAACCGCCAGGCTCAAAATTATTTTCCCCGCAGTGTGTGTACACCCCAGGGGGTAATGGGGAATATGAAGTTTTTTTTTTTTACATGTGTACTGTTTCTAAACTGCTATAAAGTTTAAGGCAAAACAAATTAGATTAAAAAGTATGCGTATAAAAAGTTGAAATAATGTTTTCCAATTTGTTATGTGTTATATTCAATTTTTGAAACAACATTTTTATTATTTTCATTGTTTACTGGGACCTTTGTATTTTATCTAGCATTTTTGTTAATTTTGATAATAGCTTATAAGCTCTTGAGTACATAGATGAATAAGCAATTTAAAATTAATTAAAAAGTTTCCAGATGAATTGTATGCTTTGAAACGTATGAAAACTCAATTCATCTATCCTGTATGTCTTATGAGAAGAGTAAAATGTTGAGCAAAATATATGAAGAGAATAATACGTATGTAATATATTGTAATCATCAGTGAAAATGCCAAATTTAACAGTGTTATGTTTTGAAGATTTGCTTTAAAATTATGTAAATGATGTGCTACTTGCTGTGTTATATCTTATGTATTTTGTTTTATTATATTTTTTAGGCATGCCAAAAGTAGAGTATAGTCTGCAGGCTAATGGTTCTGTGACCAATGAAACTAGTTCAAAAGAAATGAATAATATTCCTTTTCAAGACTTATCCGGGTCTGCTAGTACATCATCATCAAATTCTAATCTATGCAGTTCACAAAATACCATTGTAACTTGTTCCCCAAATAGTTTGTGTCAGTATCTTCTGTTTTAAATGTAAAAGCATAGATTTTTTAAAATATTTTTTATTATTAATTTGCATTGCAATTATTTTGGAAAATTAAAAATGATAAATGTGTGTTATTTGCAGATTGGAAAATTTCAGTGTGTTTTTATGATATTGGATGCTGTGCTGAGTAACTATTTTAAAGTGATCTGATTTATCTAATTTCCAGTGTCCATTTGTTATTTCTGTTAAGGTTTATTAGTTCTGCTGCTGATGTTGAAATCAGTTCACTGAGTGCCATTTTATCTTAATACAGTGGCATCCAAAAGTTATATGATGGTAAAATCAACAAAAATGGAAAAGCAAAGATTTAAGTAATGCTAAATTTTACATGAAGGTAGTAAATACATTTATAAAGGGTGTCCAAGTCCCACTTTCAAAGGCTGTGAGAAAAGAATCACTATTCAGAATTATCTGAAATTTGGGCCTGAACATATGTGAAGCAATGGGAATTTTCCTGGGTAAAGAAAAGAAAAATAATTCGAAATTTTATCAGTTTGAACCGTTGTACCTCTGCTTGTCACAATATGCTGATTAAAACAAATGAATGCACACCACACATTAGATTTAATAAAAACATGGGGGTTATCCAGTTCCCTTTTTTTTTTTTTTTTTTTTTTTTTTTTTTTAACCCCTTAGAAGCAGAGCTGCATCTTCAGGACTATCAGTGAAGTATTATCCTCTGTTTGTGAAATTTTTTTACAAAAATTGTGACTGTACTTTAACTGTCCTGAAGAACTTAAAGACATTATAGTTATAAGGCACAGCTGTGATTCAATGTCTGTCAAAGGTCTGTGGAATATGATTTGTAAATTCAAAGAGACCAATTCATTTGGCATGAGATCTAGCAGGAGGAGGAAAGCAACTGCTTCGATCTCAGTGAAAGATGTGGCTATTTTATTGCAAGAAAAGCAGTGGTGTGGGAATGTGCAATACAAGAGGAATTTCCTGATCTTTAGAGACATGCCTATTAGCACCATTCATAAAATTTTTGCTTGTGGCATTAAAAAGTTAACAGCATATTGGACATTTTTTAAGGGATCAGACTACTATAAAATCAAGTACAAGTATCAAGTACTGGGAACAATTAAAACCGGAACAGTTTTTTTTTTTTCTTGTGGTATGGTTTGTGGTTTAGAGACAATTAAAAACCAATTTTTTTAAATAAAATTTTGACCAGTTTTTTTCCCTTTTAACAAACAAATTCACATTTCTTTGTGTAAATTCAATCAAATTTCAGGTGATTCTTTTTTTAGAGCCTTTTGGAACTGGGCTTTGAGTTATAACCATTCTGTGCATGAAAGAAACAAGTGTTATGTACAAAGATGTAAATATTATTTTAATTTTCATGAATTGTATGATGCTGTCACATCTGGGTGGTGAACAAATTGATGCTTAAAACTAAAAGCAAACAAAACTTACATACATTAATAAGGTATGTCACCACCCTGGGCCTTCAGACAGATTTTACAGCAATTGCCCACACTTTCAATGTGATGAACCATGACAAAGTAAAAATAGCCATTCCTCTGTTAGGGCAGTTTCAAAATGTCTGAGACTGGTTGAAGGAGGGATGCAGAGACAGCATCCCCAAGGACATCCCAAAGATTTTAAGTGGGATTAATTTTGAGGGAATATGACAGCCATTGCGTAAAAGAAATCCTTCACTATCAAGTACTCATTAAAGATGTTGGCTTGATGGCAATGGGCATTACCATCCATAAGGGGTATATCAGGAAAAACTGCTTCACTGTAAAATATCACATGCGGGATGCAGGATTTCATTCAGATACTGTATAGTTGCCACATTGTCATCAAAGATGTGCAGCTGGATGTGCTAGCCATTTCAAATTCCAGTTCGCACCATTATGCTGTTATCTTTGAGGGTGTGATGTTCTGGGCCTGATTCTGTGTTCCTCATTCTCTCCAGACCCCTACATGCTTATCATCTGATTCCAGCAAAAATTTGGACTTTTCCATAACTAGGACATTGCACAAATGTAAGGCAGTCTGATTGAGATGTTAATGACACTACTTTAATCTTGCCACTCTGAATTGGGCAGTTGGTAGACCACAAACACTTGATACTTGGGCATTCAGTCCCTTCATGTGAAGCCTTTAGCCTTTGGCATTCAATATTGGCAGATAATGTCTTATCAAGTAACGCTGCAACCATGGTTATGACTCTCATGGAGGTTAGTTGTTGATTCCTTGGTAATAGCAATATACTGATCTTTAGAAAGAGTGGTAATGCTTGGTGGCCTAGAAACAGGATAATTGTTTGACTTGTAATTGTTTCCACATTTCAGAAATTACTAAATAAGCCAAAGGAAGAGTGATATCCTTAATTGACTATCTTGCTTCAATGCACCTAACAGCATTCTAGCACTCACTATCTGCCATTCATTTTTTTTAAAGCCACAGAAACACGAATATAAAGAAACTATACTATGGCATTTTAAAAACACCTAGGCATTTAAATCAACGTCCTCAGCTCATTCAGAAAGCTGTTGTCTTCAACATCTGCTAAATTAGCTTATGTTTGTAACAGTCGATTGTGATTGGCTGTAACAAATGATATTTGCATAGAATCTTCGACATCTGCAGCGATTTTCAGCCACTCAAATTATGCTTTTGAAAATTATTAATTTGCATTGTGTGCATAACTTTTGGAAGGCAGTTTATTAACACCAAATTGAATGAGATACTCAAAAAGAACAAATTAAGAATGTGCTTTTATATGTTAGTGGAATATGTGTTTGATTACTTACCAAATTATGGATTTTAAATAGTGTTTGATAGAAGAATTATATGTTCTGTGTATGCTTTAACTCATGTAGATAGTTTTTTTAAATCCTACAGCTCTTGACTGAAATATATTGCAAACATTTCACCTGGATCTTTTATTTCAGCATCTTCTGTGATAGCTAGCAACTGTGTATCAAAAAGCTCCGAGCAAGAATTCACTCCAAATAGCAGTAGTCATCCAATGTTTTCATGTTTACCTGAACCACCTATACCAATAAATGAAATTGGTCCCATCCCGCCACCACCTATGTTTTCTAGCTCACCTAGTTTGACTGCAAGATTTCAGCCATGTATAGGTACCTTTAATTTACTCTTCTGTTGCATATTCCACTCAATATTATATTGGATATAATTCATAATATCAAATTTAATTTAAACAGCTGTATTAAAAATGCTATTATCTTTAAAATGAATTTGTTTAAATTAAATTTGATTTCATGTAGTATATCCGAGGATGTATGAAGCATAAGTGAGAGTGATGTTAATGCACTGATAATTACAGAGATCAAATAAGAATTCTATACATAATTAGTTAAGGCTAAAAATTAATGGTTGTCTTTTAAATGAAGGTAAATGTACCAATTTGCATAAATTTTAATAGCATATTGTATTATCATCCCTACGTGTGAGAATACTTGTCTTCATTGTTTTCATTTATATGATTTCTTCTATGTTAATTTATTTATCTGAATTTGCTGCTCATTAAAGCTTGGCACATTTATATTTATGCTTTTTTAGAAATTTTGACAATTATTTCTTTCTTTGCCATTCCATATATGCTAATTGCTTAACTGTCTCTTTTTGTAACAAATTGGGTCTAAAATATGCCACTTTTTTTATTAAAGTTTGTCTTGAATGGAGGTTAATTTCAGTTAAATACTTTATTTAGTTAATTTCAGTTAAATACTTATATTAAGCACTTGGAGCAACTTTTATGAAGAAATTACTAAAAGTTTTATTACTTAACTTGTCAAGGGCCAGCAAAATGAGAAACCCTTGACCAAGCCTGCGCAAATCGAAAGTACATGTTTGCAGGGGACCAGGTGATTTTCCCTGTTAAGTCCAGTTCCATTTAAAATAGATCATTAAAAATTTTACTGCAATTAAATACACTGATGTTTACAACTTATTATCATTGATAGAATCTGAATATACTGTATTGTTTGGAACAGAGCCTTGTTTCAGGTTTTGCATTCATAATAATTCTTTAGTTTTTTTTTTTTTTTTTTTTCTGTTAAGGAAATTCTTTTTGCATACTACACACTGTCTTCTTGAGTTCTCTATCAAAATATGAACAGAAACCCAGTGCACAATAAACACATCCTTTTGTGCTGTTGTTTACATGTTCGAATTCTCTTGATCCAACAAGAAATTTAAAAAAATTCAGAGGATAGAGGTCATATTGAAGATCAAAGCTCTCTGCAGCATTATTTGAAACTAAACAGATTTCAGCTGACATCTAGTTTCGTTTAAAAACTTAAGATAATATGTTCCAATTTGAAATTATACCACTGGGATCATGGCCCTTAAGAAATCATGGGCCTTGGAAAGGCTGATTACATATATGATACTGTAATAAATTTTCTGTGGTATTTAAAAAAATATATTAATTTTAAAGAAAATTGTGTCATTTTAATAAAAAAGTTATATATATATAAATATACACACACACACTTACTCTTAGAAACATTAAAAATTTGAACAAATTGTGAGTAAAACTACATGATATGTTCAAACAGATTTCGTAAATATAATGAAATGAATGAACTATTTGCATTTATACAGTCCTATTAGCATCAAGTTATCTACCTTGTGCTAATTTAGCAGTTTTTTAGTGACTACAAAAATGGACTACAAAAAAGACAAAACACTTTCGTATTTACGTATTTTTATCAATTATTGTTCATTGAACGGGAGTTGGTTTGTTCCCCTTGAAAAGTCAACTAATTTCCGATCAATGACAATACATGTTATTATTCTTCGTGATGATTTAACTCCAGTCCCCGTTAAAACATTATTAACATTTTGCTTTCAAATTACTTCAAAACATCTTTCAAAATATAACTTACCAGTATGGATGCACACTTTTAAAATAATTCTACTTTAATTAAACTTAGGAGATAATATAATCAATTAATCAATACTGTTTAGGAAAATAAGTTATTATATATATATATATATATATATATATATAATATTAGAATTTCATTATATGTGTTACATTAATACAGCTTGAAATTTCATCCCCCAAAACTTTTTTTATACTTTTTGTTTCAGAAAAACTTTCCTTATATATTTCTATGTAAAAGTATTTTCCTGCAAAATTATAAAAAATAAATAAATAAATAAATAAAAATACTAGAAGAATGATCATGCTTCAATGGACTACTTTTACCAGCTCTTTGCAAAATTATGAACAAATGAGAAGCAAAAATATGGCGAAAACATTAAAAAGAGTGCATCAACTTTTCTAGCCCGTACACTATGTGGGCAAATTGAGTTCTGGAAGTGATGCATGTGCAGCCTGCAGGCAAATCAGTTAAGTGTTTAGAAATTAAGTGTCTTAGTGTCTAAACACTGGTAAAGTCCAGGGATGAGAGCATATTGCAGTTATAGCAAAAGTTTAAGTATCATAAGGAAGATAGTAATGACTTCAGATAATTACTGAGGAAAACCATTTGAAAATGGAAAATTTATGTATGAATTATTTCCTCAAGGTATTTTTTTCCCTTTCTATTGCATTTGTAGGCCAGGAATTGTATGATTTAATTTTTAAAAAATGTTTCTGCTGGTAAAGAAAAATAATGATAGAGTCGTGTTCTGTTAGTGTTGTAAAATTTCAGTTAAAAAAAGAACAGCGGTTTATTTTATGCAATGCTGCCTTAATTTTGGAAAATAAAGAACTATAGCATGTGCAATTGCAGAATCTTAAGAAATGATCAGTTACTGTCACAATGACCATAATATATTAAAGATCTCAGACATTTACAATAGGGATTGAAGCACTAAAATTTCAAAATTGGCTAATAAAATGTAGTCAAGCAAACTTCAAGTGCTGAGATGAGGGATATACTAAAAAAGCAATGCAAAGGAACTGAAAAGCAGTTTAAGAAATGCAAATAGGATCTAGTGGATGTGGCATATTATCTTTTCCCATTTTCGGTTTACCTCTGTTCATTGTACAAAGATACTTCAACTACCAGTGTCAGCTGACAGTGATGAAATCCTGCAAGAGGCAAAATCAGATATACCAAAAAAAAAAAAAAATAGTAGATTTAAGTATCGGAGAACCTAAGGTTAAAAATCTGCAAGAGCGAGAATCAAGGCTTGTAATAATTTCCAATTGCGGAAGTAAAGAGGAAGTACGGAAGCTAAAAAATTAGAGCTGAAGGGCTGACGTATCAATTCTACTACACTTTGTGAAGAAAAGATTGAGTCACCAGATAGTGTCATAGAAGAAGAAAGTATAAGATGACAGTAAAAAGATAACATGGAAACGATTCCAACTGAAACACAAAAAGAAGTTATAGATGATACCAAATTCACATCTAAAAAGGAAATCACTGTGGAGAATAAATATAATATTAAACAGCTGCTTTATTAAATAAAAAGGAAAGTATCATTGGTGATAAATCTAGTTTGGGCAAAACAACTAATTCATTTACAGAGATGGAAGCTGAAGCCATTAAAAAAAAAAAAAATATGCAGTTAGACTGTATTTAAAAAAAAAAAAAGTGAGATACTGCAAAAGAAAAACCAAAAATGGTGGCAAAACAAAAGAATTGATAAGATGCTGCAATGATTTCAAAGGACATAGAAAATTCTTGAAACTTTTAAAAAAAAGTCAATTGTGGTTTCTTTGTAGCATATCTGAGTTACTGGCAGGGGTCTAGAGTTATATTATTTTGAAAAAGATTTCTCCTCGCAACAAAAACTAATAATAATGTCTTGAGTTAATTTCTCACGATGATATATGCTGCTAATTAAAAAGTTTTCTCTTATTTTTGGAAAAATAAAATACGTTACAACTACAGTATGCGTCATTGTTAAATCTTAATGCATTATCAGTTAATGACAAACCAGACCTAATGCAACATATTCAAAAAGAAAGAATGAATGAAAATATGTTTAGACAGGATGTAGATTTGTTAAAAGAAAAATGAAAACATGTAACAGTGAACTAAATGGCAGAGAAAACACTGTATTAGTATCCTAGTCATGAAGTTTCATCACTGAGATAAGCAGTTATGTTTGAAAAAAATAGACCCTGTTTATATTAGTTTGAGATGTGTTTTCTGTTGATTTATTTATTGGTTTTAATGTAGGAATAAAATGCAATGTACTGATCTGTGCAAACTGAGTAACGATATAAAGAGTAGTAAAAAATTTTATTTCCTGATGTAATTTTTTATCATTTGAGGTTACTTTAAAGAAGTGTATCAAAGTGAAAAGGTGTATATGATAGTTAAATTGTGAGTAATAGTGATGCTAATTATACCTAGATTTTCGTACAGATGTGCTAATAAAAATTATTGATGAGAAGGAATGTAGTGAAATCATTCCCCTGTTTAAAACAAAATGAAAACAAAAATTTTTTATCTAAAAGTTCTGTCTCTAGTCTAGTGGTTGAGGAGGAGAATACAGTCCTATTGATAATGCTATCATTTGCTGTGCTGTTCATGAATACTAGGATGAGCTAAGGCGAGTAGTCTTCATGTACTTTGACTACATTAAGTGATCTAATTCACACCAGTTTCAATAATTATGTTTCTATTATATGAAAATAGTATTAGGTGTGCCTGTTATCAATTTTTTCTTCTTAATGGCTATGACTTAGTGGGAAGTAATTTTAAGTACAATATCTTAAAAAAAAAAAAAATGTCCAGTTCGAATTTTTGTATGTTTCATATGCCTGTAATGATTTCGCTTTTAGAACTCTGTAAAAATTTCACATGCTCAACTTAATGCTTGTCAAAGAAGTGATTTTCTTTGCATTTAAAATTTGATTTGCATTCTGTTATCTTTTTAATTAATTTTCTAAATTATATGGTAAGTAGTATTTTTTTTTTTTTTTAAATTTAAAGATGTGTAGATTTATGTTAAGAAGTAATACTTCTGTGTCAGAAAATACTATGTAGATTGGAATGGTTCACTGGGATACAAGACTTGAATTTGTCAAAATAGATTTTTCTGCTTCATTATGATCTTCTTCATTTGCAATGCACTTTTACCTGCATTTTTTTATATCTTTAAAATAACCAGTCATTTTATTGAATACTTTTGGAACTCATAGTGGAATTTGCTTTACACCATCAGTCATCTAAAAAGAGGGACATTATCATAGTGCAAAATATGTAATTTATATTCTGAAGACCCCCCATCATTTTCTATCAATTTCTTTTTCAAATGACACAAAATGCTCAAGTAATATTCTTTGTTAACAGTTTATCAGGACAAAAAGATTTCATGATGCGTGACACCCTTGCAAACAAATTACTGTGATTTTTAACTTATTGGAACATAGTCCATATATTCTTTTTTGACCTTTCAAATTGCGTGATTGTTCCTTTATCAAAAGCCTAGACTCATGTTTCACCAGCACCATTTCTCAAAGCAAATAGGACTTGCTTTGAGAAAGCTTCTCCTGGACAATTTAAGCATGTTGTTTTTAGTAAAGATCTCTTTTTTCAGAACTACTTGAGAAGTGATATTCTTCCAAGCTAAAAAATAATTTTTATAATAGTAGTTTTTTGTAGAAAAAGATTAATGCACATTCTTTCCTGAGTTGCCACTGAAATTTCATAAAATTGCCAGAGCGAAATATTTTCGCACAAAAACAAGCATTGATTTGTAAACAATGACATGTGGATTGCTCCTTGAATGCTGATGAAAGTCATACCAATCAGTGGGAAGAATAGCAATTGGTTATTCCAACTGGGAAAAATAACAACAAACTAATCTATACACATAATTTAAATGAATCACTCCAGTGATTATTGTTTACAGTACTATATGTAAATTATTCATATTCCAATATTCAGACTGTATTTGAATGGTGTATTTGCCAGTTGTATTAGAAGTCTAAAAAAATATTTTTCCTTTCTTAGCTCTACTAGATCAAGCAATTAGAGAAAGGCAAGAAGCTTGCAAAGCTGCTGCATCCATCACATTACCAAATTCACAGCTGGATAGTACTTTAGGAACTGAAATTATTGAGGAAATACCTGCAAAGGAACCTCATTTATCAGCTATGCCTAAAAAAAGTGCATTAAAAAAGAAGGGAACTGTATGCAGTACTTCTACAAAAATATGTTTTAACTCTGTTTCATTTGTTACTTCTAATCCTCTTACTATGCCATTGACAAATTTAAATAGGCCTGTTACAACGTAAGTATTTGTTTAAATTATTGGGTCTGCTCATAATATAGAAAAGTATTTAGTACATCTAAACTTATAATATTTGTGCATTTATTAAAGTGTATCTAGAAAAAATTAAATGCAGATCAGTCAAGTTGTAAAGTCATGATTTTATGTAGAGTTACTTTAAAATTTAATTACTTGCAAACCAGTGACAATAGAAAGTTGAGCCTCTTTTTCTTATAGAAAATGCATGAAATAGTTGTTGAACATTTGAACAAGAACTTGAGGACTTAAATATTTAAATGTGTATGTATGTGTTTTTGACATTTTAGAGGTTCACAGTTGTTGTACATTCATAGAATTTAGAAGAGAGCTGACCAGAGAAGATGAAACCAATAACCTTTTTATGCATGGCCGAGAAAAACTGTTGCATAGATCTGACTGGAGCAAAAATAACAACTGGCTTGATCGTTAAAATATCTTTTTTATTTTGAACAAGAAAAATTCTTCAGAGATACGTTTTTGCTTAAATTGGTATAACATTAGGGATAAACCTGCCACACAACTTCTATATACATAGTTTACATGCGAGATAATAGAAAAGAAACATAGTGAAGAGATGTGACACTGTCAGGCAGAATGACTCTCTGACCCTCTCAGGCAGAGCAAGGAGGCAAAAAAAGGTATGTACTAAGTGCAGTCGTATTTATAAGCTCAAGGTCTTTGATTTAATCCTGAGTAGTGATTAAGCAAAAGATTTCGCAGTGTAGGGAAATTACAGGGAGAGAGTGACATAACATGCTGCAAAGAGTTATAAAATGGTGCAAAGCGAATCTTTGAAGAGGGGCGTAATTAAAAATTATGAATTTAAAGAACTATTTGCCAGTTGGTTCCAATTCAGTTGAATAATTTTGTTTCGTATATTTAAATTTTACGTATTCTCTTTCTTCAAGGAGAAAAAGGGCTTGGTGAAAGAAAATTCTTTTGAGAAGAAAGCTTTGGTATGTTAGCAAAGAAAAAGAAATTTTTTAGAATATTTGCAATTTTTTTCAATTGCAATGAGAAAGCAAATGAATTGCTTCAGTGATATAATGGTTAGGTTTCACTATGCCCTGTCATTTGTTTCATGAACTTTCTTATATATTTGAATACAAGAAAACATATAAAAATATAATTTAGAAATATAATAACAAAATATATGACTTCGAAATGGAATTTAGAAATTAAAATTCAATTTGAAAGTCTCTGGAGATACTTTGTAAAGTTGTTGAAAGGTATTCTCCAAATGTCCTGAATGTGCAGTGTCAACTAATTGAGAACATTCAGCGTTCTTGTTTTAGAATTGTATCGACAGTTTCTTTAGATGCATCTATCTGCAAATACATGACAAGGATATTTTGGATTAAATAAAGTTAAAATAGGTTTGGGATTTAAAGCATCTTTTAAATTTTGAAAGGATGTTTGACATTCAGGCCTCCATTTCTGGAATATCTTTTTTGAGTATATTTGTTAAAGATGCTCTAATTCTTGCATGATTTGGAATAAATTTATGATGCACGTTAATACTTCCAAGAAAGCTTTGTAAATTTTTATAACATTTTTAGGGGATTGTAATTTTTTTAATAACTTCAGTATTTGCATCACTGGTTTGATATTTCCCTGCTTGAATTTCGCATTCTACACTCATGTCCATAAATTAAGGATAATGCAAAATCAGGCAAAGGAAGAGTTAGAAGCAAAACAAATTTGACTTATTTGTAAAGCTTATTTATTAAACAAAAGGTAAAGAGCAAAAAAAGATGCTATATGTTTGATATTATTAAAAAAAATAGCGATTTTTTCTCCCTCGAGCAAATTACAAAAAAAACCTATTTACAAAAAATCAATATTACATGGTTGGTATGATTGTTAATACATTGTATGTCTCCCAGACGATGCAATACAGTCCGTACAACGCCTAGTCATGCTGAGTATCAAATTATCGATCTGATCTTGGGGGATATTACACCACTGAAAAAGCAATGCTCTCCCAAGTTCCGGTAGACATGTAGGAGGAGGTTGACGGGCTGCAACTCGTCAGCCAAGTATGTCCCACACATGCTCTACTGGATTCAAGTCCGTTGAGAATGCTGGCCAGTCCATACGGGTGATATCCTCCAATTGAAGGCATTCGCTTACGATGTTTGCACGGGGAGAACGGGCGTTGTCATCCATAAGCACAAATTGTGCGCCCATGGCGCCCCGAAACAAACGTACATGTTGTTCCAGAATGACGTCCCGATAGATTTGGCTTGTCATGGTTCCAATTTGAACATGCAGGTCAGTTCTGGAACCCAGAATAATTCCACCCCAAACGAGCACTCCTGCACCACCTTAACAGTGTCGTTCAATGATGTTTTCTTGGTGGTAACGGGTATCTGGAGCTCTCCATATGAAAGTCTGGCGAGAATCAGACTGCTAGCTAAACCTGGACTCGTCGGAAAACATCACACAAGCCCACTGTTGCAGTGTCCACAATGCATGCTCTCTACTCCAGGCTAACCACAGGCGAAAGTGAGTTGCAGTAAGTGAAGCACATCTGACAGGTCTACGAGCATATAAACCAATCTGCCCTAAGCGTCTGTACACGGTCTGTCTTGAAATTGTCGTACCAGTGGCTGAAGAGAACTGACGAGACAGGTCTGATTGTGTGCTCCGCCTGTTTCTTTTGGCAGTAACTGCCAAATACCGGTCCTCATTCGGCGTTGTAACTCTGGGGCGACCTGTGCTGTAACGTCTACTCACATTACTATCATCTTGGAATTGTTGCCAAAGTCTGGAGATGACACTCTGGGCAATTCCAAGTTCATCTGATACTTCCAGTTGGGTACGCCCACATTCCTTACGGCCGATAATTCTACCATGTAAAAAATCATCCAAAATGCGTCCTTTGTGTCATAACTATTCGGTTATTGCACTGAAATGCTTATAAAGCGCATGCGAACAATTTTACTTCTTTGCCTGTATTCCTTATATATCACTCTCTTACACTCTTGTCATTGTGACGTACCATCGGTTTCATCTGGTTACTTCCTGAAATTTGCATATGGTTCTTGAAGATGTGTGTAGTGATTTTACAGGTGATATATTTATTTTAGAGTTCGATTTCCGCGTGACTCCGAATTATCCTTAATTTATGGACATGAGTGTAGAATATTTATTCTTTCTTTGGTAAAATAGCACATTGTTTTAATTTTATATTTTCCTTTTCACGTATATCAGGTATTATTTAAAATGTTATAAATATTGTTCACAATTTTAGGAAAATAATATTATGTAGGCAACATAATTTAAGACAAACGTGTGAAATCTTGTCCTTTTAGCTATCATGCAAAAAAAAAAAAAAAAGATCTTAGTAAGCTTGGTGACATCTCGCACAACCGTGAAGAAATAGCACACAGGGAAAGGGTTTGAATTGCCATTTTATTTCATTAACTCTTTAGCAAAAATGCATGAACTTCATGTTCACAATAACACTGACTAATTTGCAGTGGGAACTTGAGAATAGATTAACAGTACCTTAAATGGCAAAGAGTAGTACTGGACTACTTAAAACTAACAAGCTGACTCAGCAACTACACCATGGATAGACATTAAATAGTTGGCCATAAGGCATTCTGCAATTCAGAGTAACAGCAGGAAGGACAAAATAGCAATGTGCCCTATGCTAGCAAAATCACGCTCTGACCAACTTTCCTCTTTCATCCATTTAAATACTCTTGCTCACTTAATTTGCATCCTCCCGGGGAAATCCAAGGGAAATTGAGGAGTTCAGAAAAGATAACAAAAATTAGAATGATTGGTTATTCAAGTTCAGGAGAACCCTAGAAGCTGAATGTGATACTTATATAAAATTTTTTTGAGGGCACTTCGAAAAACAGCTGGGGAATTTCTAAAACCAAATGATAACTAAATTCATAAACACCAAAATTGGTTAACTGCCAATTTCTCAGTATTGTTTTCTTTTAACTTAATGTGCCAAAAACTAGATGCTAGGTCTAGTGTAGAAAATACTTTTGCATTCGTTAATTGGTCTAGTATTGTATCCATTCTAGGTTATGGGTTCATAATCTGTTTTAATTATTTGTTTAAGTTTTCTGTAATCAATACATTTTTAAATTTTTGTCTTTTTATAGGCTTATGTTACAGGAGCAGCATTAGGGCTAAATGGTGGTTTTATAATACATGCATGCAATAATTCATCTATTTGTTTTTAAATTTCAGTATCGTAAAAGTCCAGAAATCCGCAAAGCTTGCGGCCAGAGGTTGTGCGGATTTTAGGATTTTAGGACAGAAAAGATAAAGCATAATATTTGGACTAAAAGTGCAAAATAAATAACGCATATTAGATACTTTTAATTAAATTATTACAGTCAAAAGTCTTTAATCCGGATGTCCATAATCCAGAATGATCTATAATCCAGACCTCAAAAGCTACAAACTTCATGCGCGTAATACCTGTACCCATGCGCATATGCGTGTACGCATGTGCATAATACGTTTACGCATGCTCGTTTAATGTATAACGGACGGAACAAGCTAAGCTAAAATTATTTAATTATCTAATTCAGTTAATGTTGCAGATTGCATGGTTCCTTAATCTTCGAATTGGAACTGGCTTATTATTTTTTGCAGACTGTTAGAGCAATTTTATAAAAGTAAGCTTGAACTTTCAATTATGTCAAAAAGAATTTCCGATTCTGGAGCTGCCAAAGGATCTACAAAGCGAAAGCATGTTTTGATGTCCATCAAACAAAAAGTAGAATTGCTGCAAAGAATGGATAAAGCCATATCCTTTGTTTCTCTAACCATTTCGAAATCTGTTTATCAATTTCAGGCTGCTCTGCGAGGGGAACATCGCGGGGTGCAATGAACTGGAAGTTGATCTGTCAGGACTATCCTTATCTTCAGGGCAGATGTTTTTATTTTATTCGGCTTATAATCCCTTACTAAATGTAGTATTTAATCTCGATGTACTTCGTCTTTGA